TCTCAGGCAGCGCGCACAAGCAGGGTGTGGGGAGGCGGTTTATAAACGGCCACCCGAACCTGTACTGCCACTGTCCAGCCATTTATATACAACGGCCGGACGGGAAGTGGTTAAAGCACCCTCGTCCCCGTGTGCGTGTTGGCCCTGTCAGTATGTAAACAGCGGTTGCACCACGCATGTGAGGTATCACTGGGAACATCAGATTGATGCCAGTAATTCTAGCACTAGATCTCCTGTGTAAATCTAAAGTGTCGCCTATGAATATTAAAAATGTATGTAGTTTGTCGCCGTTGCATGGGGCATGCGTAGTTTTAAAGCCATGTTGTCATGTTTGGTATCTATTTACTCGGCATGTCATTATCGTTTATATTTTACCAAACAATTGGCCAATATAGTGTGTTTTTGTGCATTAAAATTCAAAAAAGTGTATTTTTTTTCAAAATATTTGCATTTGAAAAATCGCTGCGCAAGTACTATGTGACATAAAAAATCGCAACTAGAAATTCTGAGGACCCTCTGCACACTGGTATATACCCTTTGAAGCAGACTATGCAATAAATATGGATATTGTGTTCACACATATTGCAATACATGCTTAAGCTGGCCAACTGCGTCAAAGTAATCCCTCTATGGCCAGTCCTACTCTGCTCTTGCCCACGCAAATGCTACTGTGGACACAATGCTAGCATAGGGGAAAAGACACAATGGGGAGAGCTACAAGTTTCAGGTCTGGCTATTGACCCAACAATACAACAAACAAGAGATCCCTGTGCTCAAATCCCAACAGCTAGTACATGCATTTATCCATCAGGTGCTAAAGGGGTGTAACCACATATTAACACTAGAAATTCTGAGGACCCTCTGCACACTGGTATATACCCTTTGAAGCAGACTATGCAATAAATAGGGATATTTTGTTCACACATATTGCAATACATGCAATATCCCTATTTATTACATAGCTCAGCTCAGATCCCTGTGTGCCGATATGATGGCTTCCTGCGCATGTGCATGAGTGACATCATTTTGTGCCGGCCAATGAAGATGTCCAAAAACTGACACACGGGAAGATGTCAGCACCAGTGAGGGACGGGACAATTGAAGGATAGGTAAATATAAACTGCCTTTAGTTCAGTTTTAAGAAAAAGTATAGATTTGGACATTTTTGAGGCTACATAGTTACTCTGGCTAAAAAAAGACAAAAGTCCAGCCAGTTCAACCAAAAAAAAGTTATAATCCTATACCCACAACTGATCCAGAGGAAGGCAAAAAACCCCAGCAAAGCAAGATCAAATTTGCTCCTGAAAGGAAAAAAAATAATTCCTGATCCCCCGAGAGGCAATCGGATATTCCCTGGATCAACTTTACCTATAAATGTTGGTAACCAGTTATATTATGTGCATCTAGGAAAGAATCCAGGCCTTTTTTAAAGCAATCCACTGAGCTGGCCAGAAACCAACTCTTGAGGGAGTCTATTCCACATTTTCACAGCTCTTACTGTGAGGAAACCTTTCCATATTTGGAGATTAAATTTATTTTCCTTCAGACGTAAAGAATGCCCCCTTGTCCTCTGTGATGACCTCAAGGTGAATAAATCTACACCGAGTTCACTATATGAACCACTGATGTGTTTATACATGTTGACCATATCCCCCCTTAATCTCCTCTTCTCAAGAGAGAATAAATTCAGTTCCTCTAATATTTCCTCATAGCTGAGCTCCTCCATGCCTCTTATCAGTTTGGTTGCCCTTCTCTGCACTTTCTCCAGTTCCCCAATGTTTTTTTGTGAATTGGTGCCAAAAACTGAGCTGCATGTGCCAGATGAGGTTTTACTAATGATTTGTACAGGGGTAAAATGATATCTTTCTCTCTCTATGGAGATTATACTTTTTTTAATACAGAGGATAGAGAGAGGATTTTCCTCACTTTAGAAACCGCAGCTTGGCATTGCATACCATTATTAAGCCTATGATCTACCAGAACTCCCAGATCCTTCCCCGTCATTGATTCCCCCAGTTGTACCCCCCCCCCCCAGTATGTATGATGCATGCATATTCTTAGCCCCCAAGTGCATAACCTTACATTTACAAACATTAAACCTCATTTGCCACATAGATGCCCAATTAAACAGTGCATTGAGGCTGGCTTGTAAGTTGAAGACATCCTGTAAGGATGTTATTCCATTGCAAAGCTTGGTGTTATCTGGAAAGACTGAAACTGTATTTTTAATCCCAGACCCTATATAGTTTATAAATATATTAAAAAGTAAGGGTCCCAACACTGAACCTTGGGGTACACCACTAACAACCCTAGACCATTCAGAGTATGAATCATTAACCACTACTCTGAATATGATCTTTTAGCCGGTTTTCTATCCATTTACATACAGATTTATCCAAGCTGTAGACTTTACCTTACAGATTAGCCGTATGTGGGGAACTGTGTCAAACGCTTTTGCAAAATCCAAGTATACCACGACCTCAGCCACCCCTCTGTCCAAGATTTTGCTCACCTCATAAAAAGAAATAAGATTTGTTTGACAACTTCTGTTTTTCATGAATCCATGCTGTCTGTTGCTTAAAATATTTATTTCCAACAAAAACTCATCTATGTGGTCTTTTATTAAACTCTCCAGTATCTTCCCAACTATAAATGTTAAACTAACAGGTCTATAATTACTTGGTAAAGATTTTGATCCCTTTTTAAAAATAGGCACCACATTGGCCTTACACTAATCCAGTGGTACTATGCCAGTCATTAAAGAGTCCCTAAAAATTAGAAGTCTTTATGTTACACCTAGGACTCTTAGGAATTTTACCCTTTGGCTGTACAGTAGCAGGCGTAGAATGGTAAGAGAGGTGTATGAACTGAAGGATCTATGTTCATATGTGTAAGGGCAGGGTGGTGGTTTTTTTGTCACATCCTCCATGTTTACCTCCTCAATGGGTGCCAAGCAAGGGTCACATGAGAGGCCTTCCCTGGAGTGGCTTCTTCTGAGCTATGCTAGACACCTTTTACAGGGTCTCTCTCTCTCTTTACTTCACACACATAGGGTGCCTTTGCATTAGTGCTGTTCTCACCAATTCCCTGGGACAGGCTGAGATTGCTGCCAGGGAATATGGGAACTTAAGACGGGCCTCCGCAGATGTGGAATGTGATTGAGGGAAACCTCCACAGGCCTTTTAGAGACGAGCACACACCATGTACAATTGCACAACAGCTGTTTTCCAGTTAACTCTCTGGTCCCTGTGTAAGTGTATATCTTCCCACTATAGCTTGCAATTAGGCGGGCCATGCCAAACACTGACCTCAGCTACCTGTCCAGTGTTTCCCACTACCATTCCCAGTAGCAGCATGGGGTCCCACTGGGCACAAAAGGCGGGCTCCAACATGCACTTGACTTTAACTCCTGAACGTCTGTACAGGATGGGGACCTCTGCAGTGCAGTTTTGTTCCAGTTGCTATGGGAGATGGAATGTGGCGTTGGGAGTGCTGACATCTTCCTCACAGTAAGAGGCAATTCCACCCATACAGGTACACATTTACGACAGGCTGTTTGCTAACTGTACTTTCATTGCTCATGGCAACCACATGTATAACTTGCACTAGAATGACTCTTAACATGTTAACTCTTCCTACCCTATATGCTGGTGACCCAAGCTTTAGATTAAGTGATTAACTTCAGACCAGGCAAAAGGCAAATGCTTTACTGAATAAAGTGTAGACAGTACAGAGTCAAACATGACACAGTCTTTTCCTAAGTCCCTAATCCCTAATTCTACTAAGGGTATGTGCTGTATGGGCATACCAGCATAGGTATAGTCCATGTAATTACAGAGTTCATCAGAGGCATTTTCCAGCAGCTGGTTTCTTTGGGGCGAACCCCATGTCCTGATAACTTTACATCCAGGTAGTAAAGAGCAACATTCTTGTACTCCTTTTGCGTGCAGCTCTCTGGTCCTCCCTCTTACGGGGTTATTTCTTACATTCTCTGTGCTCTCAGCTGTCCATGGGGGAAAATCTTCTCCTTTCGAACCACTGTCTCTCTTTTATCTCATGGGCCCAGGGGGTTAGAGCTATCCCGCCAAAAACTAAAGAACCGAGAAAAGCATTAATCCCTAACCCGTCTGTCCGGGGCAGCACCTAACTAATTTCAACCTGCTTAAACATATTTAAAGTAGATATTGAACAGAGAGACTAAGCAATCACTAAGGTAACAAAAGGTGTAGCAGTTGGTTTAAAGTTTAAAAGAGGTGGGCAGAGGCCAGTCTGGCAAGGCGGTAGACCTGATTTTTTTTATGCTGCAATTAAAGCTGGACGCCAGGTTGGCAAAAAAAAAAATCCAAACCTAAATTACTCACTTAAATCCAGTAGTTATCTCTCTTACACACAGAAGGTGGGGTGTCTTATGCACAGTGGGTGTTCACGTCACCACCCGCATGATGTATACACTTCCTTTTGGTTGTCTACTGTTGTAGTCCTCCAGTGACCTAGAGGATTGTCTGCAGACAGCTACATCAATATGAGGGATCGTTGTGGACCAGCCAGTGTGGCACATGTGCGTAAATGGGTTACTAGTTCCCCGCACTTGTAAGCACTCTACACTCTACAAGGTGGCACATGTTGGGGTTTTTTTCAACAAGTGGAGTCCTTTAACCACTTGCCTACAGGGCACTTATACACCCTTCCTGCCCACGTCAGTTTTCAGCTTTCAGCGCTGTCGCACTTTGAATGACAATTGCATGGTCATGCAACACTGTACCTATATGAAATTTTTATAACTTTTTTGAGACAGATAGAGCTTTCTTTTGGTGGTATTTAATCACCTCTGGGTTTTTTATTTTTTGCTAAACAATCCAAAAACAACTGAAAATTTTGAAAAAAACACGTTTTTTCTTAGTTTTTGTTATAACATTTTGTAAATAAGTGATTTTTCTCCTTCACTGATGTGCGCTAATGAGGCTGCAGTAATGGGCAATAATAGGCTGCACTGATGGGCACTGATAGGTGGCACTGATGAGGAGGCACTAGTAGGTGGCACTGATGGGCACTGAAAGGCAGCACTCATATATGGCATTGTTAGGCGGCACTGACTGGCACTGTTGGGCAGCATTGACTGGCACTGTTAGGAGGCACTGACTGGCAATGTTAAGCGGCACTGATAGGCGGCACTGACTAGCCCTGATAGGTGGCACTGATTGGTAGCACTAAGTGGCACTGACTGGCATTGATAGGTGGCACTGACTGGCACTGATAGGTGACGCTGAAAGGCAGCTCAGATGGGCACTGATATGTGGCATTGATGAGACACTGATAGGCACTGGCAGGTGGCATTGATGGGCACTGGTAGGTGGCACTGATGGGCACTGACAGGTGGCACTGCTGGGGCTACACTGATCATCAGGTCACACTGATCATCAGTGCCCTGATGATCAGTGTGCATGTCCCCTCCGAGGAATGCCGATTACCGGCTCTCCTCTCTCCTCTCGAGCTGTCAGCGTGACAGCTTGTGAGGAGAGAAATGCCGATAACTGGCATTTCCCTATTTACATGCGATCAGCTGTGATTGGACACAGCTGATCACATGACTGAGCCGACATCTTCGGCTCTTTCCATTGATCGGTGATCCGCTGTGTCCAAGGGACAGAGCGCACCACCGATCACCACGCTGCACACTCCCGGAGTTGCGCACGCGCATTTAGAGTGGGAGGACATCGTATGACTTCCTCCCAGAACGAGAGGACTGCGTTGCACCCATCATTACCTTATATGGCGGGAGGCAGTTAATTAAGTGGCACATCCGCTCTTGCTCATCTGAACATCTCTTCTCTGTCCCTTCCCTGGTAAACTATGCATCTACAGTATGCTGCTGCTTCACAACCATCTAAACCTGAATACTGACTGACTGCTTTCAGTGTATTTACAGTAAACTTTGCAACTATGCTGCTGCCTTCACAATCTGTAGCCCTGTTCACAGTATTGTGATGTTTATTTTTGTTCCTTAGTGTCTTACCTAAATTATGAACTGATCTTAATCTTTACAACCATGCACTCTTGGTCCTCTTGCAGTCTGATTGTGGTGTGAAAAGTTTGCTCTGCTAGCTGTGTGCCCATTATTAACTCCTAATTGATTAATTGTCAAATTACACACCCACACACACACAGTATAAAGCTAGTCCACCTTTATGGGGGGCACATGCTAGAGTGGTACATGTTGGGTTTATGTCAATAAGTGTGATTCTTTAATTAGCTACTTGCCCTCTAGAGGATTTACCCCCCTTAATGACCAGGCCTCTTTTTGCTACTCAACGATGTACTAATTTAACTGATAATTGCGTGGTCATGCAATGCTGTACCCAAACGAAATTTATGTCCTTTTTTTCACACAAATCGAGCTTTCTTTTGGTTGGTATTTTATCACCTGTGTGCTTTTTATTTTTCGCACTATAAACAAAAAAAGACCAAAAATTTTGAAGAAAAACTATTTTTTTTTTTTTACGTTTGGGCTATAAAAAATATATAGTAAACTCAAAGTTAATTATAAATTTAGACCAAAATGTATTTTGCTACATGTATTTGGTAAAAGCAATCCCAATAGGTGTATATTGATTGCTTTGTGTGAAAGTTATAGTGTCTACAAACTATGGTATAGATACTTCAATTTTTACGCCATTTTTTTGCTATACAGCACTGCACTAGTTTAACTGACAATTGCGCAGTCATGCAACACGGTACATAAATGAAATTTATGTCCTTTTTTCCACACAAATAGAGCTTTATTTTGGTTGGTATTTTATTACCTGTGTGCTTTTTATTTTTCACACTATAAACAAAAAAAGTAAAAAATCAACAATAGGAATGCGCTAAATATATATCAAAATTAACATCATAAATATATGTGTAAAAAGTCCAAACATAAAAAAAAAAAACTTTTTAGTGAAAATAATCCATAAATTTCGTGTATATAAGTGTACAAAAGAAAGTCCAACACCACAAAGAATAGAAAATTTTCTTCTTTAAACATATAATTCCACCGTGCTTTATCCACCACCAAATGAATGGAATGAACTCACCAGAGCTCAATGCTGATTAGATTATAAATCAGCACAAGCGCCGCTTGTGAGGACGTCAGAGTGACGAAACGCGTAGGGCGGAGCTTATTGGATGACGTCAGGACGTTCCCTGGAGCTGTCGGCGAGGTGTCCGCGGTGAACGGGGCTCGTCCATTCCGTATACTTGATCGCTTGCTATACCAGTGTCAGGTGGACACTTCATTTTTGTGAGTAGGATGCAATTGAAATAAAAGTTTTAAATGGTTCTTACTTGCTGCACCATCATGCCTTTTCTTTATTTTTGAGTGATGTTACTATACAATTGGAGGATGATCGTTATATAAGGAGTTTTGGCTATACCTCAAAATCACTGCAGAGTATTGTTCCTGCTATTGGAAGTGTCTAGACTATAGAGTGCTACTTCATGATCTACTTACTCATCGCTCCCAGAGAAAATGCGCTTGTGCTGATTTATAATCTAATCAGCATTGAGCTCTGGTGAGTTCATTCCATTCCATTCATTTGGTGGTGGATAAAGCACGGTGGAATTATATGTTTAAAGAAGAAAATTTTCTATTCTTTGTGGTGTTGGACTTTCTTTTGTACACTTATATACACGAAATGTATGGATTATTTTCACTAAAAAGTTTTTTTTTTATGTTTGGACTTTTTACACATATATTTATGATGTTAATTTTGATATATATTTAGCGCATTCCTATTGTTGATTTTTTACATTTTACCAATAGTTTGGGTTAAAGGTTTGCTGCTGGAGAGGATTGATATTGTTGATTGGCGCTTTCTTTTTTTGTTTTTCATAAACAAAAAAAGACCAAAAATTTTGAAGAAAAAACTATTTTTTTTTACTTTTGGGCTATAAAAAATATATAGTAAACTCAAAGTTAATTATAAATTTAGACCAAAATGTATTTTGCTACATGTTTTTGGTAAAAGCAATCCCAATAGGTGTATATTGATTGCTTTGTGTGAAAGTTATAGTGTCTACAAAAACTATAGTATAGATACTTCAATTTACGCCATTTTTTTGCTATACAGCACTGCACTAGTTTAACTGACAATTGCGCAGTCATGCAACACGGTACATAAATGAAATTTATGTCCCTTTTTTCCACACAAATAGAGCTTTATTTTGATGGTATTTGATATCCAGTGCGCTTTTTTATTTTTGGCGCTATAAACAAAAACGTTTTGAGGAAAAATAATTTTTTTTTTTAAAAAAAAACAATATTTTCTTATTTCTGTCATAAAAAATATCCAAAAAAACAAAAAAATTTTGTCATAAATTTAGGCCAAAATGTATTCTGCTACATGTTTTTGATTAAAAAAATCACAATAAGTGTATATTGATTGCTTTGTGTGAAAGTTATAGTATCTACAAACTATGATATAGATAATGGAATTTACACAGCTTTTACTTTCTGACTGCTCATCACATTTCTTGAGGTGCTAAAATACCAGGACAGTACATGAGAGGCATACTGAGTCCCATAGAAGATTTATTTTTTTTTCCACAAGTTTCTGGAAAATGACAAAAAAAAGTTGTAATTTAAATTATATATTTCTCACACAAGCCATGGGTATATGTGAAATTACACCAAAAATTACATTCTGCTACTTCTACGGAGTATGGGGATACCGCATGTGTGAGACTTTTTGGAGCGTAGCCACATACAGGAGTCTGAAATCCAATGACCACTTTGAAAGCCTGAAGGTGCGTAACTTCTTTATTTCACTTCTTCACTATCTATCACAGTTTTGAAGGCCCTGAAATGCCAAGATAGCACCAACCCCCCAACCAAATTACCCCTTTTTGGAAAGTAGATACCCCAAGGTATTTAAAAAAAAGGCATGGTGAGTATTTTGCAGATCTCATTTTTTTTCTCACAAGGTTTTAAAATATAAAAAAAAGAAAAGAAAAAATATTTTTTGTTTTTTTTTTCTTCATTTTTCAAACACTTGTGGCAACAAATGATATCTGCAACTCACCGTGCTTCTTATCAAATTCCTTGGGGTGTCTACTTTCCAAAAAATGGTCATTTGGGGGGGGGGTTGGTGCTATCCTGGCATTTCAGAGCCTCTGAAACTGTGATAGGTAGTCAGGAAGTGTAATGAGGAAATAAAGCCCTTTAAAAGCCTGAAGGTGGAATTTGGGGTCCTGTACTTGGCTAGACTGCCAAGTACAGAATATATTTTGGGGAGTAATTGCACATATACCCATGGCATGTGGTGTGAGCAATAAATCATTTAAGTGACAATTTTGTGTAAAAAAAAAAAAATTTGTTTGTCATTTTCCAAAAACTTGTGGTAAAAAAAAAAATTCTTCTATTGATTCAACATGCCTCTCAGCAAATAGTTTGGGGTGTGTCTACTTTCCAAAAAGGGGTCGTTTTGGGGGTGAGGGCATTTTAAGCTCAGCACTAGAGATTTATGTACACATCATTCACTCTTCTAACCACCAGAAGACCAAGCCTTTTCTGACACTTTTTGTTCACATGAAAAAAATAAGTATTTTTTGCTAGGAAATTAATTTAAACCCCAAACATTATATATTTTTTTAAAGCAAACACCCTAGTGAATAAAATGGTGGGTGCTGTAATTTTTTATGTCACAGTACTCGTGCAGTGATTTTTCAAATGCAATTTAAAAAAAAAAAACACTTTTTTTACTTTTAATGCACAAAAACACAATGTATTGGCCAATTATCTGGTAAAATATAAAGGATGATAGTATGCCGAGTAAATAGATACCAAACATTACATGCATTAAAACTGTGCATGCCCCGTGCAATGGCGACAAACTGCATACGTTTTTCATATCCATAGGCAATATTTTAAAAGCCTTCACAAGCTACCATTTTAGATTTACAGAGGAGGTCTAGTGTTAGAATTACTGCCCGTGATCTGACATTCGTGGCGATACCTCACATGATGGTGCAACTACTGTTTCCATACTGGCACAGGGTCAAAGCTCAAGAAACTCAGGTGCGTGCATGCGCGCGGGGGCGAGGGTACTTTTTTTTTTTTTAAGTTATTTTGATTTTTTTAATTATTTTTACACTGTCCCTTTAATTTTTTTTTTTATTACTTTTAATGCTATCACAGGGAATGCAAATATCCCCTATAACTTCAATGGGCATTGTCATATATTCTTTTTTGAGAAATCTGGGGTCTATCAGACTCTAGATATCTCCTCTGCCCTTACATTAACTAATCAAACCAAGATCGGTGTGATCAGATGCTTTTCCAATTTACAAATGGTGCTGTTTATATCCTGCAAAACTGAAGTGATGAAATGCTTGTAGCTTCTGATTTCTTAGGCTATAGGG